ATATTATAACATCGACTGAGATAAAGAATAAAATGAAATATTAAAATCATGATGTATCTCGCTGCATTGCGCGAGTACGCTTCTAGTATTGTATTAATATATTTTAAAAAGAAATATTTAAAAAGTTTAATACATTTAATTTATATTTTAGTAAGAATATAAATAATATGAAAAATTAAAATTTATATTATCCACATTGGCATCTGCAATGAAAGAATCATAAAAACAAAAAATTGTAGCGTCTTATTTGAGATGCTCGAAGTTCTAAGGGTTGTTTGGCAATTGCTAAATGGTTTGGTTTAGAATGATTAAATGGTCAGAATGATTAGGAGGCTCTCATGATATAATGCAAAATGAAATATAATTGTTTGGTAATTGTGTACAATGAAATTAGAGCTCTTAATGGTTAAGGGAAATCCAGGATACAAAATCATTCAAAGGGTTTTAGAACCATTAAGAGACATATTTTTTTTTGCCAAACAAGATTCACCTTTTAACGATTCAGATGTTGTCTCTTAATGAAACTATTAAGAGATAAACAAACAACCCATAATTCTTCTTTTCTTCTCTGAAAAGCATCGTCTCATCAACTATTCAGCTGTTCTACTTAGATTAAGATAAACGTTTCATTGAAATTTCACTTAATTACATAAACATGGATTAAGAACAATATTTCATGCAAGAAGCAAAACACTTCCAAGTTCAAAAGGTTCAAAACATGCTTACTTTTGTAACAAACCCAAAATCCATTCATCTTCATTAAGCCATAAACACAGTGGTAAGCACATTCTTGCATTCAAATGACGCCTTCAACAACATCAAGCCCTATAAACATCAATCAACAAACACATTACACAGTTCATTAATGGATTATGGCTGAATCCAGATTGCATTTGAGTAATACCATACAAATTAATATACAATACAACAACGCATACCTCTTCCATACCAAAAGGAACCAGCTTTTCCTCGAGACCACCAATTTCTTTCACATTGAAGTCGTTGAGCATGGTGATGCTGGATATTGTGGACATGGGCTTTACCTCCAAATCATCCATAATCATATAAGTCACCACCCCCTTCACGAAACCACCGTTTTCTGCTGTCAACTTTTCTGCACCAGAACCAGCCACATAGTCCAACCTTCTATTTAACAGCTTAGAACAAGAAGGACAAACAACAGTCGGATCATCAGCTACATATGAATGTGGTTGATGATAATTAGTACTACTACAACTGTAAAGCTTCATAGCCATGGGAGCATCATCATTGGGTAGCAACAATAGTGGGACCCGAGTCCCGACTTTAGCAATCTTTGGGTTCAAAACAGAGTTTTTGCTTTGATTTGGCTGCATATAAGTATCGCTTAAGTTTTCAATGCTGTGATAGAGGTTTCCTAGTGAACCCACCATGGAATTTTTCGTCAGAAGCTTGATTACTGTACCAACAGGGAGAGAAAGGATGTGGAAGAGAAAATCCACAAATTGTTTGTTGGCTTCGGCAAATAGAACTTTCTGGGCTTTTTTGTCGACCAGAAGTTTTAAACTTATTTGGGATGAAGTTGAAGAAGAGGCTGCAGCCATTTTTGTTTCTTTCAAGCAGTCTTTACTTCTGTGGACGAAGAAGATGAAGCTTTGAACTTATTTCAAGACGTGTAAAAGAAATAAATTACATTTTTGGTCCCTGTGCTTTGTGTTCTTCGGTTTTGGTCCCCCAAAAAAGGAAAAAACATTAGGGACAAAAAAATGTACTTAACTCCGTATAAAACAATCCATTAGGAAAAGAACAGTAATCAATCATCTTTCAAAACTTTGGTCTTAAGAGACCAATATCGCATTTTTTTTTTCTATTAACTATAGTTTAATACCCTTGCCAAACAGCCCAAAAAACTGAGTGAATTAATAAATCTGATGCGGACATATGATTCATACGATCCGAAGAAGATGGTGTCACCTGTTTGCAAATTTGATTAACAGATATATAAACGAACGGTAAATGAACGAACGTTCACGAACATAATGAACGAATGAGACTCTTGTTCATGTTCGTTCATTTAACTAAACGAACAAAAGAAAATAGTTCATGTTCGTTCATTTATTAAATAAACGAACTTCCCGCCGAACGGTTCGCTGAACGTTCGGTTCGTTTACAGCTCTATCGGTACTATAAAAACCATATTTTTTGTAATTATTTTTAGATGTATATTATACTATATTAATTATATGGTGCCACCGTTTGAAAAATTTTCTGGGTCTGTCCTTGTTTTCACGGGTGTGTATGTAAACTCGGTGTTCGTTTCTCCACCTGTATGACCATCGTGTTCTTGGTCTAACTCCAACCTCAGTTTGTAGAAAACCATAAGAGATGGAAGTAAAGCACAAAAGCATTGATGTCGATGCAGAAAGGTCTAAAATAACAAATCCTATTAACCAAAAAAAGTAGTCAAAACACTATAGTTGCACCTCCTCATTTTCAAAAGGTCTGGCTTATTTTTGTCTGTTTCCACGTACGGATTACCAACCCCAAGACCCCCATTATTTTCAAAGGTCATCTTTTGCAAGTTGTCACCTTTGTTTGCAAGTAGTCACCTTTTGCAAGTTGTCACCTTTTTCTACCAAATCTTTTACACAAGGGACCATAAGACTAACCGGGTTTGAGACTTGCTCAACGTCTAATAAAGATGAACTCCGGTCACCTTAGTTGACCGTTGTTGCATGCTGTCGGAGAGAAGACCTCCGTTCCGGTCATTAGAGCTGACCGTTGCTACATTATGCATGATGTCCCTTTGTCTTTGGAGAAGAAGAAGAAGCAGATGGGAATAAGGATCCATGTAGACTATAGCCTAATTATGTAAACTGCATGCAATTTTTTATTTGAATTTTGTTAAACCTTGATTGTATTTCACGGTTGATATTGTTATTTGGATGATATTCTTGAATTTGTGGATTATAGCATTGAAAATGGTAGTGTTTTTGGGTTGTTGGAAAGTAGCATTTGGATGTTAAAAAGGTGGTTTTTCTTTCTTTGCTTTATTGCTATGGCTCTCTCCTTTTTGTCTAAAGCTGTGTCTCAAATCTTCAAGATTTCACATAAATAGACCAATAGGGAGGAAAAGGTAGAAGAGTGACTAGAACTAAAGCAAAAATAAGGAAGAAAAGAGAGAAGAAAAGAACTAAAGCAAAAATAAGGATGAAAAGAGAAAAGAAAAGAACTAAAGCAAAAATAAAGAAGAAAAAGAGAAAAGAAAAGAACTAAAGCAAAAATAAAGAAGAAAAGAGAAAAGAAAGAAAGCAGCTTAACACCTTTGTCTGCCAATTTCTTTTTACACAAGGGACCACAAAGTAATCTTTTACACAAGGGACCAAACACCAAAAAGCATATTAGTATATATATATATATATATATATATATATTCATTTCACATAGTTGTATTGTATGTAGAGGTCTATTTATTTAGAGGTTAGGGGTTTAGAGGGTGACATACCTCCTTATCTTCTAACAACTTGGCTTAATAATATCAGATTATTTTAAAGCACTATTCCCCATAATTTAATTATGTGCTTTTGTAAACCACTAAAATCGAAAGTCACTACACTTTAACACAAAGTTTTAGAAAGGCAATTAACTTAAAAGTAAACAAAGATTGTAAAAAGCCCCCAACTTAAAAGTCATCTGTATACGTCTCTTTACGTGTATTATCATATGTAATAAAAGTATTCTTACACTTTCGTAAAATGAATATTTTCTCGTTTAAAGCTACAACTATATATAATGTTTCAAAATTGTGATTCACTCGCACTGCATCGCGCGGGTACACCACTAGTATTATTTATATTGATGTTAAATATGTCACTACCTTCATAAGTAGCAACTCTTGAACTTGCGGAGAGGTCAATGTGTAAAAAAAGTTTCTGGACATGATTTGCAGATACAGGGACCAAATCTGTAAGCCACTTGCAGAAGTATTTAGACTAATTTATAGATTTGATCAATGTATTTGTGGACTATATTCAAAAAAAAAAAAAAAATTAACACTTTGACCATCCACAAGTTGAGGAGTTGCTACTTGCGAAAATAGTGACATTTTTTGGAGAAAAAAATGACTAAAAGGTAAATTTGTCCGACAGATTGGCTATTTTGAGCAATTTTCTTTTTTCTCGATTGATCCTTACCAAATTGATTCTCACCTCTCTCAATCGATGTATTTTAATAGGATTTAAATATGTTAAACACCGTCGATTACATACTATTGTTTAAATGATGACTAGTTGTATAATTTAGATGTAAATTTCGTAATGATAATGAATAAATATATGAATTGACACAGTCGTAGATTTTTTGTTGGGAGGTTTTTCGGGAAATTACTTTTTAAAAAAAATCGTATTTAATTGATTTTGCTCATGTTTTATCAGTTTTATTTTATATACCAACAGAATTTAATTAATTATAAAATAAATAAATAACGTAACATAAAGACATAATTAAAGTAATTATATT